GCACGCACACGTGCCCGGCGTGAGTTTTAAGCCACCGGGTCCGGGACGTGAACCGCGGTCGACTACGTGGGAGTCCAGCGACATAGCCATTACGCTAACTGCTGGTTCCCAAGAAAGAAAAACCTTTGATATTAGTATTAGGGGAAACTGGGTGAGAGGCATGTGGGAACATTCTACATGACCTTTGCAACTTTTCTGTGGATCTATAATTACTCCAAAATAAAGAAGCTTATTACAACAAAAACAATAGGGACCAGCAGATGGTATAATGGTTATGTTGCTGGACTCCCATGTAGTTGACCACGGTTTGAGCCCCGGATCTGGCAACTTAAAACACACTGGGCATGTGTGCATGCATGCCCAAAATCCTGAGAATGGAGAAGGGACTGTGGCGTGCCCACCCTCTTGCTTTCTGTCTCTCTGAAGCAAACGTGCCCTATAGCAAAAATCTCTCTAAACAAACAAACAAACAAAGCCTGAGTCAGACCCATAGCTTAATGATTAAGGGAGCATGGCCACTCATGGTTCAAATCTTGGCTGTGGAAGCTTGAAAAAATATACTAGGCATGTGATTGTGCATGTCTGAAATCCTGAGAGGATGAAGATAAAGAAAAGGAATTGTGGCATGACCACATCCCATGCATGGGGGCCTGCTTTCCCCCTCTTTGTCTCTCTCTGTAGAGCACATATGTCCTCTGGCAATTTAAAAAACAAAAACGTTGGCCCCAATTCTTTCTCCTGTCTGTGACGTCTAAACTTCTAGATATATACCAGCACAAAGCAGGATATAAAGCTACATGACCCTGATGAAGAAAAAGGTTTCAAAATATATTTTAGTAATGCCCTTCAAAGAAAACCTGCCAGAGGGCAAACTCAGGGGTTATGTGAGATTAATGAGCAAGAGGATCCCACGCAGAGGATAGAACCAGAATGCTAAAGGGGCTCAACAGCAACTTCTTCCCACTGTCTTTACAAAGCCTTCACAATTTCTGCCTATAAAGATTTTATCACCTCCATGGGACCAGCAGGTGGCGTGGTGGTTAGGGGTGCTAGACTTCCATATGGCTGACCACGGTTTGAATCCTTACCCTAGCAGCTTGGTTTCTCTCTCTCTCGCTTTCAGTCTGTCCCTCTCTGGTCAAATTAAAATAAGTAGATAAAGAAAGTTAAATAAAATAATTCTTTAAATTAAAAAAAAAGAGAGTTTACCATTTCCACAGACTCCTCCAGTTTCCTATTCTTGTCTTTTCTAAACAGAAATTTTTATTGTGGTTACCACATTCTTATTCCAGCAGTATATAATGATAAATCGCCATCCATGGGGATGGGAATGGGGAATGCAGACTAACTTGCCTTTCAGTTTTTAGGTACCAGTTCAACGGTCATTTGGACCATATGGAGGGGACTACATATACCTCAGAAATGCTAGACTGAGTTGGACACAATGGTTACTTGAGATGTGGAGTATGCCTCCATTAGCATGGGACATGGGTGCTGAATGTATTAGGAGGTTAGTGAATGGGGTATTTCAGTGTCTAGAGGGGTAAACTACGGCAGGCTATTAGTTGCCTCCAAATAACCGCTGTATCCTTGTGCCATTATAGTCAACTTGCATTAAGCATATTTTTCAGACTTTCTTATATTTGATATAACTGTGTGACTAAGTTCTGGGCAATGTGACATGCACAAGAGTGGTGTGTGTAACTTCCAGTCTAAGATAAGTATGTCCTCCCTTTGCCCTTTTCCTCTTTCCCACTACCAGGAATAAAGACATGAGTGGAGACTCGATCAGTTATCTTGGTCCACAAAATGGAAGCTACTTAAGGATGGCAGATCAACAAGACAGAAAGAATATGAGTATATGGCGACTGCAGTCCTATCACCTACCCAGATGGTTACATCTGTTTAAACAGCGGATCCAATTAATATATAGTTGTTTTTTTTTTTTTTTTTCCTTCAACTCCTTTTTTGTGACTCCGTGACCTCATGTACCAGTTAACTGACTACTAACTAATTTCTGGTAAGGTATTAATTGGGTACTAAGTGATAGCTGTGTAACAAGTTTTATAACCCACAAGACACAAAAAAATACCCACGTGATGAGGAAGATTTGCGTGATTGCCCAGCTGCAAATCTATTCCCTTTTGTTCAACCCAGAAAATACCTCTGACTAATTAATGTTCCTTGCCTGGAACCCAGTAGGCCTCACCTTTTCTTAAAAAAACCCTAGGCACTACTTACAGGAATAAGCTTAAAAAAAAAAAAAAGAAAGAAAGAAAAGAAAAAAAAAAAAAGATAAAGGGGACAAAAAGGAAAGGCGTCAGAGTAAAATAGCAGCCAGCAAAAAACACTTTAGAATTCTTTAGCCCTTCTTCCTCTAAGCACTATAGGGGCCAGTAGGTGGCATGGTAGCTAAGGTACTGGATCCTACATGGCTGACTGAGCAGTTCATGTTCTGGACCCAGTGACTTGAAAAATACATCGGCGTCTGTCTGTATGTGTGCCCAAAATCCCAAGAGGTGAATGGAGAAGAGATGGCTGTCTGGCCATCCAACACTCAGGATGATTTCTCACTTTTCCTGTCTCTGTGGCTCTCTCTTTCCAGTAAGTGCATGTGTCCTATGGCAAAAAAACTAAAAACAAAATAAAACAATAACACAGACTAGAGGGACCAGAAGTTGGCATAATGGCTATGTCGCTGGACCCCCATGTAGTCAACTGCAGTTCGAGTCCTGGGCCCAGTGGCTTAAACTCATGGTGGCCACATGGGTGAGCATGCCCAATATCCCAAGAGGAGAATGGAGGAGAAGGGATTGCAGTGTGGCTCCCCCCTCTGTGCTTTCTCGCTCGCTTGCGCTCTCTCTCTCTCTCTGGAAACACACACAGCCTATAGCGAAAACCTCTCCAAAAAAAAAAAGGCAGACTAGAAGTGTAATGAAATGACCAAAGCAATACCAAGGACCACATTCCCCCTCTATTGACTCTACAATCTATTGTCACTAAAACACTTTAAATCCTGCTTTTGTATCCTTAGAATTCTCATAAATTGAACACCATTCCCTCAAAATTTCCTAGTGGTTACAATTACCAGTATAACAAACAATGATTTAGGGACCAGCAGTTGGTGTAATGGCTATGTTGCTGAACTCCCACATAGTCGACCAAGGTTCAAGTCCCAGACCCAGTGGCTTAAACTCACACTGGGCATGTGTGCGTGCGTGCCCAAGATCCCAAGAGGAGAATGGAGGACTAGAGATTGTGGTGTGGCCATCCCCCCTGGGGGATGATTTCTAGCTTTCTGTCTCTCTGACAAGTGCATGCACCCTGTAGCAAAAAAAAAACAAAAAACAAAAAACAAAAAAAAAACAACCTCTAAAAAAAAAAAAAAAAAACCAGAAACAATGATCTAATGCCATAAAGGCTCTTAATGCAACTTACGATGATGAATCATTTTCCTTAGGGTAATCTTCATTCAACTCTGAACCAGATGATAGCATCCTTTTCCTTTTTTCAGTCCTACAGAGAACAGAGGAAAACGATGTTACTTCTAAAAAGTCATATTTCATACATTAAAAATGATAAACCAGGCCAGTCTCATAGTGTAGCAAATAGACACTGCAAAGGGGAAGCCAATCCCACATGGCTGAGCAGAGTGCAGTCCAAATCCCATTCCACTGGCTTGATTGACATGGTGGGCATGAATGTAGGATCCTGACAGGATGATGTATCAAAGAAAAAATGATTGCAACACGACCAGCCCCATCAGAGTCAGAGGGTACTTCCCACCTCCCGCTTTTCTCTCTCATACATGCACATGTGTTCTCTGACATAAAAGAATAAATTATAAACCAACATCCTCAAGGACAGTTAATGTGACTACTTTTACCTAATTCCATACAATATATTTAGGAATTTTTGTTTTTATTGCCAGAAGGCATGCGTACTTTCAAGAGATGGAGACAGAGAGACAGAGAAATAGAAGAAAAGAGAAATAGAAAGGTGCCCCCCAATAGGGCACAGTTATGCCACAACCCCTTCTCTATTTCTCCACCATGCTGGGATTTGGGGCATGCATGCACATGTGCCTGATGTCTCTACATTAGATTTAAATTAACATACTATATATCTGTGTGTTTAGTACCTGTCACCAACATCAGCCATGTGCTATGTACAGTCCACTTTTTCTCCTCAAGACACTGTTTTTTCCTAAAAGGCTTAAGTGATTATTTATAGGCCCAAATGAAACAGCACATGCTGGATGCTGTTGCTCAGAAGGCTAAGACTATACTGGAGGCCCAAGTTTGATTTCCTGTCCAATCTATAAAGCTGTGTAATGGTGCACACATATACTTCCAGCTACTAGGAAAGTCAAGGCAGGTGGATCATTACGTAGGGAGACCCTGTTCAAAGAAAACACCACACATACATACACACAAAAAGATATTTATAAACAGATATAGTTAATGACTAAGTAAGAAAAAAGACTTTCCTACCGATTTTCTAATAACCCTGATCTAAGAGGTGTTGATGTAGACGTCAAAGAAGAAACAGTCCGGTTAAGAGTTATTCCACTTCCTGCCACCGTCTTAATTGATCCTCTACCTGGATTACCAAGAACTTTCCGAAATGCAATATCATCTTTAGTTTCCAAAGTTCCTCTTTTTGAAGAGGCCTGTAAAAGTAAAGTATGAGACAGTTAAATCTTCAAATTAATTGGAATACTTTCAGACTGCTGATTTTCATGTGGGAAGCTTGAAAATATAAACTGGAGATACATCTCTAGAGATTCTAGCCTAATTGGTCTAGTGTGAGGTTCATTCATTAGAATTATTTTTTAACCTAATTTATAGTCACTGTGAGAAATAGAATTAAACACTTATTTTCCTACAGTAGTATTCTAAACTTAAAAATTCCATAGTGTACCTGGAGGCAAAGGAAAAAACCCTACTTTGAAATATTAATTTTTTTTGCAAAAAAACCCACAAATATAGTTTTAATGATTAGTATAATAACTGATCTTCAGAACAACAGATGGCATAATGGTTACGTCGCTGGACTCCAACATGGCTGACTGCAGTCCAAGTCTCGGACCCGGTAGCTTGAAACTCATGCTGAGCATATGTGCATGCATGCCCAAAATCCTTGGAAGAGAATGGAGAAGGGATTGTGGTATGGCCATCCCACCTGGGGGGTGATTCCTTGCTTTCTGTCTCTCTCTGTCTCTCCAGCAAGCACACACACTGTAGAGCAAAAATCTCTCTTAAAAAGAAAAAAAAAAAGAATTGATCTTTGGAGGAAAAAATATCCAATTATGATGATAGGAAGGAGCCATGAGAGGACAGCAGGTGGCATGGTGGTTAGGGCACTGGCTTCAACATGGCTGATTACAGTTTGAGTCCCAGACCTCTAATTAAAAAAAGAAAAGGAAGTCACAATGATATTTGGTTGCCATAACTTAAATACCAAGTCACATATTCTCAATAAAACTGTTATATGACTCTTGGGGGGCTCTAATTGGGAATAACAAAACAAATATATGTAATGATGGGGAATGAAAGGTGAGATGGAGACCACCGACAAAAATTAATCATAGACTATTCCACAGACTGGGCAAGAACACTCACAGAGAATATGCCAATGTAAACGTATTAGTTGTGAAATAGTGCTTTAGACAAACTTTCTGCTAGTTAAATCTTTTATCTCTACATTAAGAGCTATTTGATTTCTCTATGAAAGATATGTCCAACTACTTCCTTTTTGCAGAATTACAATTGCAGGCTAGAAAATTAAAAAATCTCTAACCCTGGATCCGCCTCACGGTGTAGTGGTTCAGGAATCTGAGTCACAGACGGCCAAACAGAGTTCAAACCCTGTTCCCAGTTTGTAAAACATGCCAGGCCTGTGTGTGTGTGTATACTCAAAATCCCAACAGCATGAAGAAATGCAGGAGAAGGAATTGTGGTATGACCATGCCCCACTGAGGGGCGCTTTCTCCTTTTGACAAGTGAACATGCCTTCTAGCAATTAAGAAAACAAAACAAAATAAAACAAAAACCTCCAAGAGTCATCTGGATGAATTATTTAAAAGTTAAATTTATTTTCAAATGGATGACTAATTTTTGAAGTTCACAAACCAAAGTAATATTCAAAGGCACAGACTAAGAATAAGAAGTCTCACTGTCACCCTATCACTATCCACTTAATTTTTCTACCTCCAATTCTTCTATCCCTTATAAGTATTCTTACCTTGCTTCTTCACGCAAAATCAATTTTTTATTCTTCTTGTTATAAAATGGTAACATACTATTGTTCACAGTTTAGCATCTTTTTAAAACCTTTGTCCAAGACTCCATAGTAAGAATATTTTAGAGAGGTTTTCGCTATAGGGTGTGTGCGCTCGCCAGACAGACATACAGACAGAAAGCGAGAAATCACCCCCCAGGGGGGATGGTCACACCGCAATCCCTTCTCCTCCATTCTCCTCTCGGGATCTTGGGCACGCACGCACACGCGCCCAGCGTGAGTTCTAAGCCGCCGGGTCCGGGATGCGAACCGCGGTCGACTACGTGGGAGTCCAGCGACATAGCCATTACACTAACTGCTGGTTCCCCATAGTAAGAATATTTTACATTGAAACCTGATAGAAGCCCAGCCATAGGTTTTGATGCAACAGTGACAAAATGCTCTGCAATCATGGAAACCAGGGGTTCAGTTCCCACCTCAACCTGTACACTAGGCAGGCACATGCATGCTCATGATCCTGGCTGGCTGAAAAGGGTGGCATGAGCTCCTGTTGAGGGTGCTTACCTTTCCTGCCTTCTTCCCCTTGAAATAAATGAGAACTTGGGGGGGAGAGGGACCTATTAAAACGGACCACTGAACAACACAGACGAGAATCATGCAGATGCACTTATACAGAGATTTTTTTTTTCCAATAAATTGAAAAAATTTCTTGCATCAAATTAAAAACTTCATAATCAAGAGAAATGTAAATAAACAAGGATGCAATATTAAATCATAACTGCATAAATTAACTGGAGTACACAGTGTACTACTGTAATAAATCTGTAGTTACCTCCTGTTGGCATTACAGTGGGCTCAAGGGTTAGAAGTATTTGCTTAATTATCATGTGATGCTAATCATCTCCCCATGAGTTCATCCCTCCAGTATTAAGTATGACAGTAAAAAATGAGTTTTCATGGTTCCCACAATTTTTCATCATATTTAGTGCAATATCATAAACCTAAAATATATCATAAAATTCTTATAGCCATTCATTAGTGTATAAATTATGTTACAATACAATATCTATTAGACTACAATCATAATGGTGCTGTTTATCAATGTATAAATCATTGAATCATGTATTATAAGTTATGCTTATAAATATGAAATTTTCACATTACCTTTCCTTTTTTCATTTAAAGTACCAGAAGGCGCATATACGAGATAAAGAGAGACACACAGAAAGCACTCCAATGGAGTACAGTCACACTGCAATCACTTCGTCCTTTCTCTATCCTGTTGAGATTTTTTTTTTTTTGAGAGGTTTTTTGCTATAGGGCGCGTGCGCTCGCCAGACAGACAGAGACAGAAAGTGAGAAATCACCCCCCAGGGGGGGATGGTCACGCCGCAATCTCTTCTCCTCCATTCTCCTCTCGGGATCTTGGGCACATACGCACACGCGCCCGGAGTGAGTTTTAAGCCACAGGGTCTGGGATGCGAACTGCAGTCGACTACATGGGAGTCCAGTGACATAGACATTACGCTAACTGCTGGTTCCCTCCTGTTGAGATTTTAGCCACAGGCACTTGGCATGTTTTTTAAGATATGGGGACTACAATTTGAACCATAGTCAGTCATGTGGGATTTGGTTCCCATAACCACTAGGCTATAAGGCAGCCTTTCTTTTCATTTCTGACATAAAATGTTAAAAATACATATTAACAGAGCCAGCAGGTGGCATGGTGGTTAAGGACACTGGATTCCCACATGGCTGACTGTGGTTCGAGTCCTGGACCTGGAGGCTTGATTTCTCTCTCTTTGTCCCTCTCTGGTCAAATTTCTTAAATAAATAAAATTAAATACAGTAATTTAAAAAAATACATATTAATACCCACAGTATTTTATATCATATAAGACAATACAGATAAGTACTAACAATTCATCTTGTAAGCAAATGACAGACTAAAAGTATTGATAAATATATTACAGTACTGAAAATGTATTTTCTATTATTTTATATTATTTCTTAATAATGTTTTCTTGGGACCAGCAGTTAGTGTAATGGCTATGTCGCTGGACTCCCATGTAGTCGACCGTGGTTTGCATCCTGGACCTGGTGGCTTAAAATTCACGCCGGACGTGTGTGCATGTGTGCCTAAGATCCCGAGAGGAGAATGGCGGAGAAGGGATTGCAGTGTGGCCATCCCCCCGGGGGGTGATTTCTCGCTTTCTGTCTGTCCCTCTGTCTGGCGAGCGCACATGCCCTATAGCAAAAACCTCTCCAAAAAAAATGTTTTCTTTTCTCTAACTTACTTTATTATAAGAACATGGTATATAACAGATATACAAAGTATGCATTAAATTACTATTTATGTTATCAGTACGGCTTCCAGCCAACATGAGGCTATGAGTAGTTAAGTCTTTGAGGGAATCAAAAGTTACATGTGGAGCCAGTCTTGTAGCCTGGGAGTTAAGAGAGCCAGATCCCATATGGCTGACTGTGGTTTAAATCCCGGTACTATAGGCCTGAAAAACACGCCAGGCACATGCGCAAGCGTGCCCAAAAACCCAAGGATGGAAAAGGGATTACAGCATGATCACGCCCTGTTGGAGGGTGTTTTCCCTGTCTCTCGGTTTCTTTTTTTTCTATTTTAAAGAATTATATATTTAATATATTTGATATTATCATTATTAATTTTGATTGACCAAAGAAAGATAGAAAGGGAAAGCAAGAAAGCAAGCCACCAGGTCTGGTACTTGAACCACTGTCAACCATGTGGGAGCCCAGTACCCGACCACTATGCTACCTGCTGGCCCTGTCTCTCTGTTTCTTTGTTGTTTATCTCTAGAGAGCACATATTTTCTCTGGCAGTCAAAAAAAAAAAAAGCCCCAAAACATCAAATTGTACTTCCTTTTTATTATTTTATTCAACTTTATTTATTATTATTATGTTTTAATTTGGCCAGAGAAAATAGACAGAGAGAGAGGGAAAGTGAGAAAGTAAGCCACTATGTCTGAGATTCAAACTGTGGTCAGTCACGTGGGAGTCCAGGGCCTTTAACCACCACGCCACCTGCCAGTATGTACAATTTAGTGCATGTCAATTATACCACAACAAAAATGCCCCCCAAATCTAACCCATGAAAAGGATCTAACAAAAAACGAAATCCTATTCATTGTTTAGCCTAGTAAATGGACTAAACCAGTACCACTGTGCCCAGCCAATTAGAGCTCATAAATTTACTTACAGAAGAGCTTCAAACTTTCTCTTACTTCATACCTGGTTTCCCTTTGCAAAACAAATAACCATGCTGGGTGCAGGTACATGTGTGCCCAAAATCCCAAGAGAAGAATGGAAGAGAAGGAACTGCCACACAGTCATGCCCTCTAAGGGGTGATTTCTCACTTGCCCTCCCTGTCTCTCTCTCTCTCTCTCTCTCTCTCTCACACACACACACACACACACACACACACACACACACACACACACACTGTCTCAGAGAAGGGAAGGGAAGAAAGACTATTTTAAAAAGCAAACAGGGGACCAGCAGTTAGCATAACGGCTATGTCGCTGGACTCCCATGTGGTTGACCTCGGTTCGCGTCCCGGACCCCGTGGCTTAAAACTCACACCAGGAGTGAGTGCGTGCGTGCGCAAGATCCCGAGAGGAGAATGGAGGAGAAGGGATTGCGGCGTGGCCATCCCCCCTGGGGGGTTATTTCTCGCTTTCTGTCTCTCTGTCTCTCTCTGTCTGGCGAGCGCACGTGCCCTATAGCAAAAAATACCTCTCCCAAAAAAGAAAAGGAAAAAAAAAAATAGCAAAGAGATGCCCAGTCACAGGAGTATGTGTAGAGGAGCACCACTGCAAATGCTAGAGCCGTGTGGGAAAGCCCAGGTTCAGGTCATGGGCTGACATAAACACACAAGGCATACCCATGGGTATTCCCATGATCTTGGCTGGCTAGAGGACTGGAACGAAGATTGCAGTATTACAAGACACTTTTAGGGTGTCTCTTTCATTAAAAAAAGGAGGAGGGAGGGAGAGGATAAAAATTAAAAACCAAAAACTCAAACACATGACTTTAACAAAACACTCTGGTTTCAGAGGGTGTAAAGACAAAGTTCATAATGTACAAGAGACACAAAAGACATTAAAAATAAATAGCAGTTAACATTTATAGAGCTATTAGTATGTGATATTTCAGTGGGCTATGCGCTTTGACATTTATTATCTCATAGCAACCCTTTAAATATTATTACTGGTTTTAATTTTAAGGATAAGTACTGAGGTGCTTCCCCAGTGACCTGTAGCAAACTTTCCCAGTGACCTATAACTAAGTGGTAACATCAGCTCTTGAACCTCTGTCTTAATTCAAATGCAGACATTTAAAAATTATTGTGTCAATGAGCAGCAGATGGCGTAATGGCTATGTTGTTAGACTCCCAAATAGCCGACCACAATTGGAGTCCCGGACCTGGCAGCTTCAAACTCATGCCGGATACGTGTGTGTGCGTGCCCAAAATCTCAAGAGGAGAATGGAGGGGAAGGGACTGCAGTGTGGCCATCCCCACTGGGGAGTGGGGGTGTGATATCTCGCTTGGTGAACACATGGAACCTATAACAAAAATCTCTCTCTTCAAAAAAAAAATTACTGGTTGTCAGAAAATCATGACTTATTTTTCTATGCAAAAATGTATCATGACTTTTCTGACAACCCAGTGTCATGGTGGGGCCAGCAGAGAGTCTGGTAGTTAAGGCACTGAACTCCCATGTGGTAACTGTGATTTGAGTCCTGGACCTAGTGGCTTACTTCCTCACTTTCTCTCTCTCTCTCTCGTAAGTGCACATGCCTATAGCAAATTAAATAATAACACATAAAATTACATAAATAATTCTTTAAAAAATATTATGGTTCAGAACGATGACCATAACACATCAAACAAAGGTTAAACTGTTGGTGTAAAGATATATAAGGGAAGAATATGATAAATACTAGAAAGATTTCCATAAAAATAGTTGAAGAGATTTAGATAGATAAAATAATAAATTTTATTATAGGTGGAAAATAACCTTGTGACAATGTCAGAATACTAGGTATGACAGCCTAAATTCTACTTCCTGTAATTACCTCATAAAATACCTATGACCATCATGTTTTTAAAATGTCTAAAAAGATTTAGATAAACATACCTGATTGTCTGAGTAAGAAAGTTGCCTATTGGATTCCTTCTGTGAGGTCCTACTGCCCAGAATGGCTCCAAAACTACCAGACCCCTGAGAAGGTTTCATGGCTAGTGACAAAAATAAAAAGTCCAAGTAACTAACTTCGATAAAAAGATATTTGAGATTATCACTTTTATACACTACCAAAAAAATGGAACTACAGGAGAAAGAGTAAAGATGGTACATATTAACTAATGGTTTCTGAGAGAATGCACATCTGACATATACACAGTAACTAGAGCCAGAATCTCAAAAAAAAGCCTTAAATAACAAAAATATAAGAACACATGATAGAAGGATAAAATATACAAAGCAAAAAGGAAATGCTAGAAATTCTATATAAATAGCCAGTAATTAACACTATACAAAGTTGATCCAATACATATATGACATGAACACTAAAATTAGATGCCAAGGAAGCACATTAGAAACAATAACAGGTAAACCCTCCAATAACATTTACTCTAAAGAATTCTCTACAAGTAGCTTTATCAAGCAGAATAATGACCTCTGTTATTTAAAAAAAAAAAAAGGTAGATTAAAAACATTCAAGGTAACTATATAAATTTGTAGGTACTTCATTTTTTTAATTAATTTTAATTAAGATACTTAATTACTAAATTTGTATTTCTGGGGACCAGCCGACAGCACAATGGTTATGTTGCTGATCAACAATGGTTCTAATCCCAGACCCAACGGCTTAAAACTCACAGTGGGTACAAGTGTGTACATGCACAAGAACCCATGAAGAGAATGGAGAAGGGATTGTGGTATGGCTATCCCCCCAGGGGGTGATTTCTCATTTATGTCTTTCTCTGTCTCTCCAATGAGCACAAGCACCTTATAGCAAAAATCTCTCTCAAAAAAAAAAAATTGTGTTTTTGGTTTTGATTTTACTACGGGAGGCCTATGCTTGCCAAAGAGAAACAGAGAGGGAAAGTGAGAAATAAACACCCAGGGGACACAGTTATACCACAGTCTCCCTTCCTTCAGTCTCCTCTCAGGGTTTGGAACATGCACACACACACACACACACACACACACACACACACACACACACACACATCACACGGCGTGATTTTCAGGCTGCTGGGTTCAGGACTCAAACAGCACAGCCGGCCATGTCAGACCTAGTGCCTTAATCACCATGTACCTGCTAACCCTAAAATGTATTTTATACTTCAATTTGTTTGGCCAGTTTTCAACTCATAATCATCTGGAATGTTTTATTATTTCAATACTATAAACAATGCTTAACATATTTTCATATGTCTTCTTGTATTACTGGAATTATTTTAGTAGAATAAATTCCTTAGGATAAGAATTGCTCGGCTCGGGACCAGCAGTTGGCATAATGGCTGTGTCACTGGACTCCCACGTAGTCGACCGTGGTTCGAGTCCCGGACCCAGTGGCTTAAACTCATGCCGGGCATGTGTGCATGCGTGCCGAAGATCCCAAGAGGAGAATGGAGGAGAAGGGACTGTGGCATGGCCATTCCCCCGGGGGGTGATTTCTCGCTTTCGTCTCTCTGTCTCTCTCTGTCTCTCTCTCTCTCTCTGTCTAGCGAGCGCATGTGCCCTATAGCAAAAACCTCTTAAAAAAAAAAAAAAAGAATTGCTAGGCTAACAGGTAACAGGACATACAGTTTTAAGTTAAACTGACATTCCTACATAATCCTCCAAAAATATCTCTCAGCTTCTAACAAGTATATATATATGAGGGCCAGTCAGTAGCATGAGGGTTAAGACAGCTGGATCCCACATGGCTAACAGTGTGGTTTGAGTTCCAGATCCTGTGGCTTAAAAAACAAACTAGGTGCATGTGTATGCCTACTCAAAATCCTGAGAGAGGGAACCAGCAGTTAGCGTAATGGCTATGTCGCTGGACTCCCATGTAGTCGACTGTGGTTCGCGTCCCAGACCCGGTGGCTTAAACTCACGCCGGGTGCGTGTGCATGCGTGCCCAAGATCCCGAGAGGAGAATGGAGGAGAAGGGATTGCGGCGTGACCATCCCCCCTGGGGGGTGATTTCTTGCTTTCTGTCTCTATGTCTCTCTCTGTCTGTCTGGTGAGCGCACACGCCCTATAGCAAAACCCTCTCAAAAAAAAAAAAAAATCCTGAGAGAATGGAAGAGAAGACTGTTGTGTGGTCATCCCCTCTTGAGAGTGCTTTCTCACTTTGTCCCTCTGTCCATTTCTTTATTAAGCTGTCTCTTTTCAGACTAATCTATAAAATAAGTCTCTGTGTGTTATGTAAATACTTTGCAGGGCCTATAGTAATAAATACAAAAATACTTTGAAAAGTATAAAGTATAGAGAACAGCAGATGGTATAACACTTATGTCACTGGACTCCCAAGTAGTAGATCGCAGTTTAAGTCCCAGACCTGGTGGCTAAAAACATGCTGGGCATGTGCGAGTGTGTGCCCAAAAGCCCAAGAGGAGAATGGAGGAAAAGGGATTGCCACATGGCCAGTCATTCTGGGGGGTGATTTATCGCTTTCTGTCTCTCTGTCTCTCTCTCTGTCTCTGGTGAGTACAAATACTTTATAGCAAAAATCTCTTAAAAAAAAAAATAAAGAACAAATACATAAATTTGAAAGAATTGGAAAAAATACTAATATTTTATAAATAGTGTTATCTATAAAAAGGACAACTAATTAACATTTATGAAGATAGAGGTCAGGGACCAGCAGTTAGCGTAATGGCTATGTTGCTGAACTCCCATGTAGTCGATCGCGGTTCAAGTCATGGACCCGATGACTTAAACTCACGCTGGACGCGTGTGCATGCGTGCCCAAGATCCCAAGAGGAGAATGGAGGAAAAGAGACTGCGGCGTGGCCATTCATCCCCCCTGGGGGGTGATTTCTCGCTTTCTGTCTTTCTGGCGAGCGCATGCACCCTATAGCAAAAAATAAAATAAAATAAAATAATGATGAAGGCTGGCAGGTGGAGTGGTGGTTAAAGGCAATGGATTCCCACATGGCCAACCATGGTTCAAGTCTCGGACCTGGTGGCTTGCTTTGTCACTTTCCCTTTCCCTTTTTCTCTATCTCTCTGGTCAAATCAAAAAACAATAACAAATGGAAATAAATAAATAAATCTTAAAAAAAAAAAAGAACTTAAAGAAATTTTAAGATAATATAGAGGCCAGCAGGTGGTATGGTAGTTAAGACACTGGACTTTCACATAGCTGAGTGGAGTTCAAGTCATGGACCTGGTGGCTTCTTTCTTACTTTCCCTCCCTCTCTCTATGTATCTCTTTGCTGAGTGTACCTGCCCTATAGCAAATTTAAAAAAACAGTGATAATAATAAAAATTAAATAGATATTCAAAGTTGGACCTCTAACGTTTTGTATTCCTATATATTTTAGAGACATGAACTTTCTCACACAGATTAATTCAAAGAGTAATGATTTAATCAATATGATGGGTATTACGGAATCAAACAGAGGGCTGGCAAGTGGCATGTTGATTAAATGCCAAAACCCTCATGGCCAACTCCACAGTTCGAGTCGTGAACCTGGTGGCCTGAAAAACATGCCAGGTGTGTGTGCATGCATGACCAAAATCTTGAAAGGGGAATGGAGGAAAAGAGACTGTGGCATAGCCATGTCCCCTGGGGGGAGAGGGATGATTTCTCTCACTTTTCGTCTCTCTATCTCTCTCAGATGAGCACATATGCCTTATAGCAAAAATATCTTTAAAAGAGGTAAAAGAGGGGCTGGCAGGTGGCGTGGTGGTTAAAGGTACTGGACTCCCACATGGCTGACCATGGTTTAAGTTCCAGACCTGGTGGCTTGCTTTCTTACTTTCCCTCTCTCTTTTTTTCTCTCTCTGATCAAACTGGAAAATAATAATAATAATAAATAAAATAAAATTCTTCTTAAAAAAAGGTAAAAGAAAAGAAATAGACATTGTCCCTGACACATTTATAAGAATTTTAAATAGTACTCAATTTCTTGTTTTTCTTTTTTTTAAGAGATTTTTGCTATAGGGCACATGTGCTCTCTGGAGAGACAAAGAAAAACAGAGAGACAGAAAATGAGAAATCACCCCCTAGGGAGGATGGCCTCATCGCAATCCCTTCTCCTCTATCCTCTTCTTGGTATCTTGGGCATGCGTGCACACTCACCTGGCGTGAGTTTTTTAAGCTGTTGGATCCAGGTCTCAAACCATGTCTGACTACATGGGAGTTCAGCAATATAACCACTACTCTATCTGCTGGTCTCTTTTTTTAAGGGAAGCATGTGCTCATCAGAAAGACAGAGAGAGATGGTGAGAGAAAAAGTGAGAAATCATCCTCCGCAGGAGGGATGGCCACACCACAATACTTCTCCTCCATTTTCCTCTTGAGGTTTTGGGCACACACGCACACATACCTGACATGATTTTCAAGCTGCTAGGCCTGGGACTTAAACCGTAATCGGCCAAGTGAGACTCTAACACCTTAACCTTTACCCCACCTGCTGGTCTCAGTATTCAATTTCTTAATTCTAAATTCACTTAACAAACTGACACAGCTCAGTGTTGGTGGCATAAACACAGAAAGAATAGGTACTAAATGACAAGTACAAGTTCTTACTAAAAAAAAAAAATGTGTCATATAGAGCTATTAAGTATAATCAAAGCAGCTCTGCTATGTCTTCATACTCTATAATGTTTTTAATATGTTATATTTAAGTTGAAAAAACTCAAGTAAAAGTTTGTTAGCTATAAAATATTACTACTAACACTGGGCCAGTAGGTGGCATGGGTGATTAAGGTGGCTAGATCTGACATGGTTGATTGCGTGGTTTGAGTTCCGGGCCTGGAAGCTTGAGAAACATGCTGGGTGCATGTGCGTGTGTGTCTAAATTCTCAAGAGGGGAATGGAGAAGGGACTGCAGTGTGGAAATCACCATGGGGGTGTGATTTCTCATTCCTCTCGCCCATCCCTATCTTCCTTGGGTGAGCGCATGTGCCATATAGCAAATTTTAAAATAAATATATTGGTAACAGTGAAATATTGATGAGGACAGAGCTGGAGACTAACAATAATAGTGCAAAATAGTAATAGCATATTCCT